CAAAATAACAAAAGATACAAAAACAACAACAACAACTACTACTACTACACGGTAACAGGAACCACCAAAAATCAAAACCAAAAAATAGCTTGGTCGAGTAAATAGCATAAATAGAAAAGAAGAAGTTACAATAAATTATTTTTTATATATAAAATTTTAATTTACAAAAAATTTCACTGAATAAGCTTTAGTCACGATTTGCTATGAACATTTTTACATTACAAAATCTCAAACAGAAATTCAACCAACTGATGCTGCACCAAACATGTATCCCATAAAACAAAAAAGATATAAAAATATCTTTAAAGAAAAAATCCACTAACGAAATTTAAAAAACAATTTAACTTGAACTTCAGCGCAATTTTTTAGCCATTTTCACAGTCTACACTCAGCGCAGCCTTTGCGAAAGTACTTATCTGCTTCGTCTATTTATTAGCGAAATAATGGGACTCATCTGCTTTTATGGGTGCTGGCACAACTACAAAAAGTTGCACTTACCATCTGCAGTCCCGTGAATGTACATGTGCCCGAGCCCATGCCTGTGCCTGCATTGCTATCTATTTCAGTGCATTTCATGTTTTGCTTTTTGACATATTATTAGACTTGGCAGTGACCTTTCGGTGCCATAAAATATTTAACTAATAATAAAATTCAGCGGATGTTGAGGAAAAGTGATTTACTAGCATGCGGAAATCTAGTTTTCATAAAAAACATTTAAAAAAAGTGAAAATTTATTTTGTTTTATGATTTAAGAATTACTAAGGAATGTTAGATAAAAAATTAAAGCATCTTTAAGAAAAGATATTTTCATTTACGGTATATTCTTACCAACATTCGTCAAAACAACATCCGAAGACATATACTTTAAGGATTGTTGTTGGTGACGTATTATTGTTATCAAAATATTATTATTACTTAATGTTTATTTTTTGTTTTTTTTTGTCGAAAGTGACGCGTATTATGACGAAAAGAAACTATTTAAAAGTTAGAAGGGTTCGAATAGAAATGAAAAGACAACAACAAAAATTTTTAGTTAATTTATTGATAATAAAACCTATATGGAGTTACGGAATTCAACTGTGGGGAACAGCGATGCCATCAAATATTGAAAAATTGCAAAGACTGCGATCTAAAATTCTAAGAATGATAACAGGTGCACCGTGGTTTATGAAAAATGCTAACCCTACATAGAGATTTGAGCATGCCAACAGTAATAGAAGAAGCTGCTCGATGTAGCCGTCAGCACCTCTTAAAGTTAGAAGATCATCCTAACCAATCAGCTTACATGCTGCTATTAAACAAAGGCCACAGACGTCTCAAAAAGAAGGACACCATCAACATCTGTTAACTTTCTAAATTTTTATTTGATTTAAAATATTATAAATTTTATTTAATTGAATTGAATGTGATTTTATGAATTGATTTTAATTTTAAATTAATTTTAGTTATTAATTTTAATTCTAATTTTAATTATAATTAATTTTCAATCTTATCTTATTATAAATAATTCAAAGTCTCAATAGTTTTTTCCAAAGTAATAGCTTAGAGAATAAAATAAATTTAGTTTTAAGATTTGATCCATTTATGGTTAGTTTCGACTCTTCGTCAGTGGTCATCATATATATACATATGGAATATAGTGCAACATATTGACTCTGTTCCAATGTGTTCCAACTCACATATTGCTTAACTATATAACACTATAACAAATCTAAAAATAGCGGAATAACAAAGGGATTAACAGAATTGGTCAGCAAACGTGTGAGAGAGAGAGAGAGAGCGAGAGAGATGCTTAAAAATTTGTAACATAAACACTATAGAAACATATTCAATTTTTAAAACAAACAGCAAAATAAAATATTATATTATTAAGAAGTATTAAAAGAGTTACTAAATTAGATGAAATAAACAGTGACGGAAATATTGCTGCATTCTCATAAGACTCTGTGTTCTTACACGTGAATCAAGTTCTTAAACGTAAATCAAAATTTTATGTAAATTAGGTCATATTAGAGCTATTGAAAATAGCTTCTTTGAAGTTCTTGAAATGTAACTTTTTGAATACCTAAATTGTCGGGTCATTGTATTTTAGTTAACCATACTAGAAGACTAAATCTCCCTTTCAACCATACCTGTCGCAATCGTGGAAAAGACAATGAAAGTGCCTCCCACCTACTTTGCTTCTATCCAGCACATGCGCGGTGCCACCTTAACACTTTAAGGATCTTTATTGAGGATTTTGATGAACTGCAAAACCTCACTCTACATTGCATTATAAGCTACATTATAAGCTTTGCCGAAGATTCTAAGTGGTTTTCACTCTTGGGTTTTTATTTGTACGTTAGCACAATAAGCTTGTAGGCCTAAATGGATCACTTGGGATCGCAGGTATAACATAATCTAACCAGATTATGTTATGAAGAGTTAACACTCTTATAGTAGTGAATTAGTATCTTTAATAACTACCATCATCCTGGTATATTCCAAATCCTTAACAGCGATTTTATTTTTCTTTCAAAATATTTGCCTTATGAATATGAACGGTTTTTTCTCTCCTAATAGTTTCTTCTTTAAACCCATAACCTTTCGCAATAAAAAATAAAACCAATTTTTCAGCAGTTAAAATATCATTTAAATTTTATTAATATTAGTTATTTTCTATAATAAAAGAAAGAAATGATACCTTTTCTCCCCAGTTCATTGCACCTCCGACAGCCTTTGAATTGTTTAGGAGGTAATAATTATAAAAATAACAACCCAAAAATAATGGCAGCGCATAACCAAAACTGCAGTAAAAATGTAACTGGAAAGTCAATAAAAAATGTAAATAAACATAAAGCATTGCGAATACTTAAACAATACAAATATTTTTGTTTAATTTGCAAAAACTATAACAAACAAAATGTTTACGATCAAAGTTCCCCTCCTCCTACTCCACCTCTTCCTCCTCCCGCTCAGTTGACCATAAGTGTTGCTTCCTTCAAAACGATCTCATCACCCATCAACAACAACAGCAACAACAACAACAACGGTGGTCAGCGGAACTTTTTACTAAACCAGCAACATTTGTTAATGTTTTATTTACAAATGTTGAGCGGTAAAAATTAAAAATTTTTTTATTGTTGCATTTTTCTACTTACAGCCGTACAGATGCCGTACAGATGCCGTACCGCTTGTGTATCTGTATCAACGCAGCGTAAAAACTAATTTAATTGCAATAAAAAGATAAATAAAAGGTATGGAGTGAAAAAAGTGGAAAAAGATTACAACTCTAAGAAACGAGCTACGAAACCAATTTTGACAATAATACGGCACACAACGGGCACTACGTTTCCGATACCCAGCACCGTAGTGGGTATTTTTTACAAGCTGCCACTGCCTGGTTTTTTGCGTGGGTGCCCAATATTCAAGGCGATTTCATAAGAAAATAAGATTTAGGTTGTTATTTTTTTTTTGAGCTTTTTTTTTAGGTTAGTTTTATTTTCAGTTTTAGTTGAAGTTTTCTGTTTTTGTATATTTTTTTTTTTCCAAATGAAAGTGAAATGCATTCGAAGTATTTCAGTTGAAATTAACGCTTTATCACGATTTGAATATATTTGTGATATCTACTTCTGGCTTATTACTCCACTGCCATGTCTCGCATCTTTCCACAGCTTCTTTTTCCCTCATCTCTTCAAACAATAATTATGCAATTTCGATGCGTTTTTTTTTCTTAAGCCAGACTCTGCAATTGATATATTATCGCTGTTGTTATTGTTATTGTTGTTATTATTATTGTTACTGCTGTTGTTGTTTTTGGTATTGGTATCGGTGGTATGTAATCCGATTTGTAAGTAGTTTCATCATAA